AAAATCTTTTGGATTTCATTATCCATAAAATTTACATTCGTATAAGCGAATGGGTTGGAATATTTATTTTAAAACACACTACCTTACGCAAAAGTGCTGCACCTGAGGAGGTTTTATAATGCGCTCAGTATGTCTTAGAATTGGTATCACTAAACCTGCACTAAATATGGCAGCTTCAAATCTTGCTGGCTTACTAAAGACCACAGACCTCCAGTGTGCAACCGGTAAAAATTTTTAGATACTTGACTAACGGTAACAAATATTATCCCAAGGTGCGTCTCATCCAACCCTGGATTTCCTGCCACCGAAGCGCAGACTAGTGCAGCGTTCCACGTGAACCTCACCTTTCATCCCAAACACATCCGCATTGATCGTCTGACAGAGGCTCATAGCATTCCACAGGTGGAATCCACCGAAGAGCCTCCCAAATTAATCACTGTGACTGCTGGAGAACTCCTCACTCTGATGTGTACTGCCGGTCCAGCCAATCCACCGGTTCCACTCCAATGGAGACAAATAATCTGCGACGATCTCTTCGACGCAAACCGCAGCTCAACCTTTGGGATTCCGAACACCGACGCCAATAGAGCACCGTGTAGTATAATAAATAATTTCGGTGAGTGAACTAGCTTAATACACACGTTATTTGAGCCTAAATTTACTGATCGAGCGAAGCTTTGAGGCGTTCAGATAATATTTTGCCCTAACCGGTAAGTTTTTATGCGTAAGCGTAAATGCAGCACATAAAATGTAGGTCCATATTAACTCTTATTATTTGGTTTTGCATTACGTTATATCTTGACGTTTTTGGAATGTTTTGAGAAGCTTGGTTAAGGCATTGGTGAGCTATGGAAGAGTAAAAAATCGGTTGGTAGTTTAGATGAGAGAGCTCACTCTTGATGCGGAAATTTTTAAAATTGTCCACATGCATGTGGGGCCACGCTGAAGCAGGCGCATCACAGTCTCTCACGCCTTGGTGTCGCCTGGTATACTCACTCCATAATGTGGACATAAACAAAACAATGTTCTATTTTTATTGCTTGAGAAAAGCTTATCTCATATTTCAGTCTAATAATGGAAGGGAAAATGCAAAATAGCTTGTTTTTTTCAATGGGAATATAGTTAAAATTTTAAAATAGCAGCTGCCCCAAAATCCCCCTGAACTATTTATGAGAGGACGGAAATTTCACAAATCTGGGCTTAAATGTCGTCAGAGCTGATGGTGCAGTCTTTTTTCTGATTGACCCAGTGCTTCTATACGGATATACAACTAAGATCCGCCTACCAAAACTGTGCATTTATTTTTTCCTCGACTGCTGTTTATCAGTCGCGTAACCAAACAGTAGAATTCAACAAGATATGCAAAAATGGGGAAAAAAACCAATGAATGCAGAAAGCGGACAGCGAATTTTCAGCGTTGCTAAGAGGCGTCTTTGCAGGAGGAAGTGAGTGATCAGCTCGAGTCACAGAGACATTAAAGAGCTCATTATTCTGGTAAAAATTATAAGTTCACAACTTTCCGGTGAAAGTAGTACTACCAGGATCTCGTCATCATGTCTAGCCTATGTTTGATATGTCCAAGTGCTATTACAAAGCATTTCACCTAAACGCGGTCTGCTAAGCGTTTTATTCAGTACCAGCAGCTGTGATGAATTCGATTGTTCTTCACACTTCACCGATTTAATGCACTTGCATTATTGATGCACAAAAACTCTTCTGTCACATTTTCTTCAATGATAGGTCTTATTGACATCAGTGGGAGACTTGACAATCGAACAACTGTCTCACTATTTCAAGGATAGCCATGGGAACTAGGTTTGTTCAGGATGGCAGCTGAATTTCTAACAAAAATAACAGTTGGTTTATTCTGCATCTCTCAAAACGACATTTTTTTAAAATAAGCTGTTGTTGCACTTGCATTTTCAGGTTCATCAACTTTGCATGTGAAAATAAGGCAACACATTAATTGTAGGCCTTAGTTGTCTACCATTTGTGTGATTACATTCATAAAACTGCCACATTCCACTAAATAACTACCCCAATTAAGAGTCTCGAAAATATTTCCGTTTATCACATTATTACTTTGATCTATACTGAAAATTAAAAAAATGAGTAGTAAACATCTTTGTGTCGCAAACACTTTACATTATACAAGTCTTAATTTCAATCCTTTTGCTGACAAGAAAACTTTTAAGACTAAGTGCATTAAATGTATTTAGTTTGACGGAATGCTTATCTTGATTAAATTCCTTTATTAGGAACTTCATCGATAATTTTTAGAAGCTCCAGCCTCTTAAGTAAGAAGAAGTTTAACATGTTTGAATCGACAAGTTTAAATTTAATACTGTAAATAAGACCGAAGGAATTGCTTGTGATTCTCCGTTTGAGTAGGTGATGCACGAGCATTGCCGTTGCTTCGTTCACGAATGGTCTCGAGGAGTTTGGTTTCGCTGTTGGTGCAGGCACGCCACCACCAGAGCCAAGTCGAATGCTCCACTCTCGATTCCGACAGACCGAATGATCGACCTAATTGGAGTGCTCGGAGTCCCGAGGAGACGACCAGACTCAAGAAGGAAATTACCCTAAACGTCCTCTTCAAACCAAACTTCTCCAATGTTCTTAGCAAACTTAATCCATCCACCTCTAAGTATCTTCCCCAATATATCACTGTAGAAGGTCAGTGTCTTTTGTCTACCGATATGATTGCCTCAATTTGATGCTATGAAATATTAAAGTTGGTAGTAGACATGAATTTTGTAAGTACGAGCTCACTATGACATTATTTTTGTTCTAAGTTGAAACGTTTATAAGATTTCTGTCAATTAATCAATTTTGTAGGCATCATAACAGGCGTTAACATAATTTAGTATTGGTTACTTTTTAGCTTTGACGAATGAACAGATTGGTTGACTATCAGAAGATCCTTTTTTTAAATCTGCATGACAACCTTTTGTAATTCTGGATCATGAAGCAGAAGAAGGAGTGTGTGCCTCTTCAGTGACTCAAAACAACCAAACTTAACATTACCCTCACGGTTAATGTAAAACCGTATGTAAAGAATTGTTGGTCGTATTTATCACCATAACTTTTCTTAAAGATGTTATTTGATTAGGCATTTGGTGCTTGTCAATGTGCTGCAGCTCGCCGTAATTGTTCCCTCCTATCAATGTCGCCTTTAGCGTGACGCAAAAGCCAACGATAGTGTGTGGAAATTTATTTCGAATAGGGATAAAAACAGCCTTATGGGAAATTGTGCATGGGTATAATTAAGTACTTCAAAACCACCAACTGTGATTAATGAAGAATGAATGGTAAAAACGACCGATACAAAAGGCCTTTTGGCATTCATGTGGACTCCTGCTTTTGAGCATAAACGATGAAGCTTTGCGACAGGAAGATGCTGAGTTAAGTCAATCATTCAGCGTTTTCATTCCTTTTTTTCCTTAATGGAATCGCCATTAAGTTTATTTTTGTCGGAGAGGAGATGCTGCCTTGTGTGAATGCAATCAATTGGCCGTCGGTATGGATTAACTTAGTCTTTTAAACAATAGTCAACTTAAAGCTGTGCCATACTTAACGAGATCGGTTTCATTTTTAACCGAACACAGGTGATTTTTTTGTTTTTGACAAGCCTTTTACAATTTTATGCTTTTTGAGAAAGCGAAAATTTTTTCACCAGAATGTTTATGACGACATTAATCAAGTAAGCCTCCATGGATCTCACACTGTTTTGCTGAACAGGTCCTTAGAATGCATGTGCATGTTTGTGATCGAGATTGTGTGGGTTTGCCTATGTGTGTGTGTGAGCGTGTGTGAAAACAGTAGGCACTCAAATAATTTATCAGCACCTTGAATTCTTCCATTAGATTTGGGAGCTCACTTTGACACTTCTATTTTTGCATTCATACTAGCAGAAGCTCCCCACTAAAACAATTTATCAACTGTGCTGCCTTAAGTTATCAAAATGGAGGGATTAAATGAATTTAATTTTTACGCGGGGCCATGCGTTACGTAAAGATCTAATCA